ACTTGTGCAGTAGGTGGTAATTAAGTGTTGTTATTAATAACAGTTATTACAAATAGGGAGAAGCAGTTTCGAAATAAACGCAATATAATTTACAGGTATTCTGTAAAAACTGACTGCGTATTATGTGTATCAAGAGATTAAAGTGTTAGTAAATAAATTATACGAGACAAAACCACGACCAGGGTTTGAAAAGAACTGCCAAAAGCTATCGATGTCAACACGGCGATGTCGAGTAAAGTAGCTTTCCTCTTAAAACGAACGCCCTGTATATGTTCAGACGCGCGGTTACTTACTTGGTGCCCCAAGAAACTAAGATGAGAGTAACAAGAGACATGAGCATGGCCATGGTTCGGAACGGGAACAGCTGATTTTCGCCATCCCAACCCGGGTAGTGTATCATGGCGGGCAACCCAAGTAACGGCTCTCCTCCTGTCATTCTGACGAAGAAGGCGACGATGTAAGCGGTTAAACTACCGTACGTATTGCAGTGATGCTTAAAGTGTACCACCATCAGCAGTTGTGGGAATAGGATCACATACACGAGGTCTGAACACATGGACCTGAGGACAAGAGACATGGACGTAAGACTGCATTTAGGCACGATAACCTACAAGAAAAATTATACAATAAAAAATATATAGCAGCAGTTAGTGTTACATGCCTTCAGACCACCTTTTGTTCATCACCTAATAATAAAAAGTAAATCATAATTAAGTACCGATTAAAAGAATTATAACACTAAATTGAACAAAGCCGCGTATATGTTACATTGAAAATCGTGTTGGGGAAAACTCTGTTTTGCAATTTTCATTTTAATAAATACTCAGTGTTTATTTAAATCGGGACCCAACTGTGACTTACTCTGTATTTGTTAAACGGTACAGATTGTGGAACTTACCAAAGGCCATAGATGGAAGGGATAGTAAGTGCCATTACTGTTGCCAGCGCTCCAACGACCAAGATCGAAACCCTCATTACCCAAATAATCTCCATCTCAGAAGCCTGCAAAGAGGAACTGGGTAACACACTCTAGTACTCGTAATAAATTGGATACAATTTCTTGTTTTGTATTGCACCTACCTGTGAGATTCAACAGAAATTGTTCTGCTGTATACCAAGGCAAGCATTTTGTAATTATCTGAGCTGGACATTTCTTTGACTTAAGTCTGTGGAAGATATTTGAGGTTCTCACTGTGGTCAATGTCTGTCTTCTGGATAATAACGCCAACTT